CTATCTATCACCTATCATCCATCCATCCATCCATCCATCTCTATCTATGTCTGTCTGTCTGTTTGTCTGTCTGTCTGAGAATGATGGCTGACAGGATCAATCCAACATATCATGAGGAGGGGGAGGGGGAAGGGGAGGAGGAGGAGATAGATAAGGAGAAAGGAGGAGAAGCACTCTTGGTGATCTCTTGTTTTCTTGAAAACATCTCATGACCCAACTAGGGAACCCCATCAGTGCTAGAAGGGAAGGGGAATGATGAAGACTTTCCCTTCAATTGTTGAAGGAAAAGTCTTCATCAGGGGTTTGTGAAGAGGAGGAGGAGGAGGGGAGAGGAGGAGGAGGAGGAGGAGGAGGAGGAGGAGGAGGAGGAGGAGGAGGAGGAGGAGGAGGAGGAGGAGGAGGAGAAGGAGAAGGAGAAGCACTCTTGGTGATCTCTTGTCTTCTTGAAAGTGTCTCATGACCCAACTAGGGAACATCATCAGTCCTAGAAGGGAAGGCGGTGAAGAGAAGGAGGAGGAGGAGAAGGAGAAAGAGAAGGAGAAGAAGTTATGGTATGTGAGAATTCCTAGCACTGCTAACAATTGTATGGAATGTGAAGTTCAAAAGAGGGATGGTTAGTTATTTCCTTATTTATCCTCAAGAGCTCCTGCAGAGTTTCTAATCATCTCTGCCTTGTGGGGGACCCCAATTAGAAAGGTGACTTGCAAGTAGGGCACACTAATCACTAATGACAGATGACGGTCAACCAAGTAACATATTTTTTTGCAGTCATTTCTCCTTGATCATTACTTACAGGACCGCTTTTTCAGGATCCCTGGGAAAGCCGGGTAGATTTCCTGCAATGTAAAACTGGGAGCAGCGCAAAGTCCCATCCAGGTGACCCTTTTCTGCTGCTTTGTAGAAATAGCCAGCAGCCATATTCTGCCGGGGGGGGGGGAAGAATTGTTAACAAATATGCGTAACTTCCATCTAAATTTAAAAAAAATAGTTTAACCCAGGTTACTAGCTGCAATTCACACATTTATAATTTTAATCCTCGACTTACGAGCGTAACTGAGGCCGAAATTTATGTTGCTAAGCGAGACCTTTGTTAAGCGAATTTTGCCCCCGTTTATAACCTTGCTGCTGTTCTTAAGTGAATCACTGCAGTTCTCGTGTTAGCAACACCGTCCTTAAGCGAATCGGTTTTCCCCATTGACTTGAGGTGTCGGACGGTCACAAAAGGGGATCACGCAACCTCAGCACACCGCAACCGTCATAACTATGAACCAGTTGCCAACCATCTGAATTTTGATCACGTGACCAAAGGGCATGTTGCCTTGCTAACAAGGGTGAAAAACCAGTTGTAAGTCCCTTTTTTTTAGTTGTAACTTCGAATGGTCACTAAACGAATGGATGTAAGCCGAGGACTGCTTGTATTTCAGCTGAGAAGCCATGGAGGAAAATATGGTTTAATATTGAAGCCAGGTTGTCATAGCATCAATAGTACGGAAAGTCTAGTTTGTGATCCTTTGCTTACAAGATTGTTCTGTACAAGAAGGCTGGAGATTAAGAGCAGATTCTAAGAACTGCATTGGAAGGTTAAAACTTCTTCTTCTTCTTCTTCTTCTTCTTCTTCTTCTTCTTCTTCTTCTTCTTCTTCTTCTTCTTCTTCTTCTTCTTCTTCTTCTTCTTCTTCTTCTTCTTCTTCTTCTTCTGCCATATCCGTTATTGGACGTTAGCGATCACGTTGGCGATCCTGTTTTTATCAGCCGCCGCACGAAAAAGTGCTGCTGAGTTTTGTCCCTTAGATGTTGAAGCCACGATGTTCTTCTTCTGCCTGGACCTCGTTTGCCTTCAATCTTTCCCTGGAGGATTAAATGGCGTATGCCCTATTTTTCTGGGTGTTGCATCACGTGTCCGAAATATTCTAGCTTTTGTTTTTTAATTGTTTTGATGATTTCCCTTAGCTTTTGAATTTAATACAGGTGGTCCTCAATGTATGGCTACAATTAAACCTCCAATCTTGGAGCATTCACAACTTCTGGAGGCAGGTTGTTCCACTGGTTAATTGTCCTCACTGTTAGGAGGTTTCTCCTTAATTCCAGGTTGCTTCTCTCCTTGATGAGTTTCCATCCGTTGCTTCTTGTCCTGCTTTCAGGTGCCTTGGAGAATAAGTTGACCCCTCTTTTTTGTGGTAGCCCCTCAAATATCCATTGAACACCCATTGTCCAATGGTCAGCCAATCTCTTCTTAAAAACCTCTAGTGATGAAGCACCCACAACTTCTGGAGGCAAGCTGTCCCACTTGTTAATTGTCCTCACTGTTGGGAAGTTTCTCCTTAATTTCTCCTTAATGCTTCTCTCCTTGATTAGTTTCCATCCGTTGCTTCTTGTCCTGCCTTCGGGTGCTTTGGAGAATACGTTGACCTCCTTTTCTTTGTATCAGCCCCTCAAATACTGGAATATTGCTATCATGTCACCCCAGACCTTCTTTTCTCTAGACTGTCCACCCCCAAGTCCTGCAACCGTTCTTCATATTTTAATCTTCCGGCCTTCAGTCGTCTTAATTGCTCTTCTTTGCTTCTCATTACTTGCCTTACTAAGTAGGGCTGCTGAGTGTTATAATTCTATCCTACCTGGAAGACTATCCTTGTTGTTAAATGCTGCTTAAAATCTTGACTAAAGATCTTTGGAAACTGAGAATCAAGATTAGTTGTTTTGAAGGCCAGCTTCTTACGGTCTGCTATAAGAGATGCTTCAAGAAGATCCAGGCTATTTTTATTGACTTTGAGCTTGGAAAGAAATGAGTGACGGACACTATTTCTAGAAAACAAAGAGTCATTCCTCTGTTGATCCTCTCTCCATGGAACCAGTCCCTGGTGCCCAAAATGTTGGGGGGCCACTGGCTTATGGGATACTTACCCGATTTCTACCTGTAGCTCCTGGATACACTCCATCTAAATGCAAAACTCCGAGATTGAAGGAGGCATCTGGGCTACCCAAGGCTTCAGCTTCAAGCCAAAATTTGGCTGCTTTGACAAAATCTTTTTCAAAATTGTGATAATACCAGCCAAGGCCATTGACTGCCTGGGGGAAGCCCTGTTGGGAGAAAAAAAATCAATAAAATAAGATCAATAAACTGCCGTGCAGGTTCGTATCCAACAACATGAGATCTAACGGGGAGAAAAGCAAGCAGACTACAGTTGGTCCAGAATGCAGCCGCGCGAGTGATAGTGGGTGCTCCTCAATACACCCACGTTACACCTATCCTCCGTGAGCTGCACTGGTTGCCTATTGGTCTCCGGGTCCAATTCAAGGTGTTGGTCATTACCTTTAAAGCCCTATATGGCTCAGGGCCAGGCTATTTGTGAGACCGCCTACTACCTCATAGTTCCCTACGTCCGGTTAGATCCCACAGGCTGGGCCTTCTTCAGGCCCCGTCGGCCAAGCAGTGCCATTTGGCGGGGCCACGGAGGAGGGCCTTCTCTGTGATGGCACCCACGCTTTGGAACCAGCCCCCCCCCCCGGAGATTAGGACCGCTCCCACCCTGTTGGTCTTCCGTAAGCTACTTAAGACCTGGCTTTTCCGGCAGGCCTGGGGTTTATAAAACCTTACCCCTGGATGACTGTTCTTGTATTGTTGTTTTGTTATGTTTTATGTGTTTTTTATTGTTAGCCGCCCAGAGTCCTTCGGGAGTGGGGCGGCTTATAAATTTTAAAAATAAAATAAGGTTTTTATACCCAGGCAGGAAAAACCAAAGCTATGAGTACAGATTAGGTGAAAACTGGCTCAGAAACAGCCACTTTGAGAGGGACCTTGAAGTCCTAGTGGACAATCACTTAAACACGAGTCAGCCGTGTGCGGCAGCAGCCAAAAGAGCTAACACAATCCTTGGTTGTAGAAACAGAGGCATAGAATCAAAATGACGTAAAATATTAGCACCGCTTTATAAAACCTTAGTAAGGCCACACTTGGAATATACTGCATCCAGTTTTGGTCACCACGTTACAAAAAAAAAAAAAAAAGATGTTGAGACTTTGGAAAAAGTGCAGAGAAGAGCAACCAAGATGATTAAAGGCCCGGTGACTAAAACACGATAGATAGATAATCTTTATTATCTTTTTTTTTATTGAGGGCACACATTAAAAATGAAATTCTGTTGCCTGCTCTCAAAAATGTACACATACATAACACACATGTAAACATGCTATATGCAACGTATGTATATACCTACACCCTTACATATAAATATTAGTGGCGTATGAAGAACACTTGCAGAAATTGGGTTTGAGTCCTTCATTTTACTAATCTCTGGAGGATGAAAGTTGGACCATAAGGAAGGCTGAGCGCCAAAGAATGGAGGCCTTTGAACTCTGGTGCTGGAGAAGACTCCTGCGAGTCCCCTGGACTGCAAGGCAATCCAACTGGTCAGTCCTACAGGAGATCAACCCAGACTGTTCTTTAGAAGGCCAGATCCTGAAGTTGAAACTCAAGTACTTTGGCCACCTAATGAGAAGGAAGGACTCACTGGAGAAGAGCCTAATGCTGGGAAAGATGGAGGGCAATAGAAGAAGGGGACGACAGAGAAGGAGGGGGCTGGATGGAGTCCCTGAAGCAGGAGGCGCGAGCTTCAATGGACTCCAGAAGATGGCAGAGGATAGGAAGGCCTGGAGGAACGTTGTCCATGGGGTCGCGATGGGTCGGACATGACTTCGCACCTAACAACAACTGGAGGATGGAAGGCTGAGTCAAGCCCCAAATAAGCCACAATTTACAGCTAACACCTTTTTGGGGGGAGAAGAATAAAAAAAAACCCCGGGCATGGAATTCCCAAAGGCTGCATTTTCACGCAACAATTGTGCAGAAAAGCAATCTTGGTTAATCTACTTTGATGGAATCAAAGAGACTCTGGGCAATTCAACAGCGGGGTAGTTTTTGTTCCTAAAGAGCTAGGCAGTTTTGAGAAAAAGCAGAATTTTCCATCGTGAGCGGGAAAAAGGAAAGAGGGAGATCTGAATTAGAACTGACACAATCTCTGACAGAACAATCCACAGATCTTGCAATTAGATTCTACCTTTGAAGCAGCTTTTTTCATCAGACGCAAAGCAAGGCGTTTATTTCTTTTCACCCCTTGACCCTAAACAAGGAGAAAAATATACACATATATATATTTCCAAATGTCTTCAGCCTTTTTTTTTTTTTTCATATAGGAAAGCGATAGAAGCCCTTTATCAAAAACTGGAGCGTTCTGTTTACAAGGGAAGATGCCTAGTTAGCCCTTGACTTACAACTAAGTTTGTTTAGTGACCGTTCAAAGAGACTTATTTTTCACGCTTATGACCGCTGAGGCCTCTCCAAAGGTCACGTGATCAAAATGCAGACGCTTGGCAACTGGTTCGTATTTACGACGGTTGCCATCCTCTTTTAACGACTTTCTGACATGTCAAGTCAACGGGGATTGGTTTCACCACAGTGTGGCTAACTTAAGAACTGCAGCGGTTCACTTAACAACTGGGTCCAGAAAGGTCGTAAAATGGAGCAAAACTCACTTCCCTCCCTCTTCCTTCCTTCCTTCCTTCCTTCCTTCCTTCCTTCCTTCCTTCCTTCCTTCCTCTCTCTTTTCCTTCCTTCTTTCCTTCCTTTTTTCCTCCCCCTCCCTTTTTCCTCCCTTCCTTCCTCCCTCCCTCCTTCCCTCCTTCCTTCTTTCCTTCCTTCTTTTCTTCCTCCCCCTCCCTTTTTCCTCCCTTCCTTCCTCCCTCCCTCCCTTCCTTCCTTCCTTTCTTCTTTTCTCCCTCCATCCCTTCTCTCCCTCTTTTCCTTCTTTCCTTCCTTTCTTCCTCCCCCTCTCTTTTTCTTCCCTCCCTCCCTTCCTTCTTCCTTCCCTCCCTCCCTCCTTCCTCCCCCCACCCTCTCTCCTTTCTTTCTTTCTTTCTTTCTTTCTTTCCTTTCCTTTTCTTTTCTTTTCTTTTCTTTCCCTTCTTCCTAACATTACACAATTTTAAAAGGAAAACGTTCCCCAAAGTGTTTGGGTTTTTCCCCACCCCCCCTCCAAAAAATTAACATTTACCTTGAACAACACAATGGAATAATCGAATAAAGAGACCGGGTCTTCATTCCCTAAGGCGCCCTGTGCATACCATTCCACGGCTGCCTTTAGATTTTTCTCTACGCCTTGCTGGCCCCAGAAGAGCATCTGTCCTAAACGTTGCTAAAGCAAGACAAAACGTCCCAACAGGGAGGTTGTTAGCCCTGCAAGGTAGTCCAGGGGAAAAAGCACCACCCAGGAGCATACTCTCTCTCTCTCTTTAGAGTAAAGTTGCATTCACAGCAACTGTGCAAAAGGGAAAGTATTTTTCCTTTCTTTTAGCCTCTGGAAAACCAGGGGGGGGCTCTGGCTGAAAAGTTTCCCACGCCCCCTCCCTCCCTCCTCCTGTGACTGAGACTTCTTTAACACGTCCAGTTGTCCACTTGGCAGTCCTCCCTCCTGTCTCCCAAGGTCATTTCCACACACCATTGCAGAAATGTATAGATCAGTTAGGGAGGTTGCCGACGTACAGGAAGTCCTCAGCTTACGGCCACAATTTGGAGCCCAACACTTCCATTGTTCAGCGAGGCTTAAGCATTTTACAACCTTCCTTGCCACAGCGAATCCCTGTGGTTGATAAATGAGTGACCCGGTCGTTAAGCGAATCTTAACTTCCCCTTTGACTTTGCTTGTCAAAAGGACGCAAAACGGGGATCACGTGATGCTCTCCCGGGGACGCTGCGACCATCGTAAATATGAGCCAGTTGGCGAGCGTCCGCATTTTAGATCCCGTGATCCTGAGGAGGCCGCAACAGCCGTGAGCGTGAAAAATAAGTCCCGTTTGCAGTGCCGTTGTAACTTGGAACGGTCGCTAAATGAAGTGTTGTAAGCCGAGGACTTCCTGTCTGAGTTTTTCCTCAGAAAGCTGACCATCCTATCATTTTTTTGCTAGCTTTCTCTATTTTGGTGGCTCAGCTGGAAAAAGTCCTCCTGTTTCGGTCCTTGATTTTTGGCTAGCAAAATTTATATATATATATATATCCTTTTTTTAAAAAGGTATACAGTCGATCTAGTTTTACCTGTGCAGCTGAATCCCCTCTTACTGCTTCATGCTTCAACCACATGAAAACATCCCCATTTTCTTTGGGCAGGACTTTTAACAAGGCCTCATCCTGAAGCCGGATGGCTTCGACAAACGCCTGAAAAACAAAAGAGGACAAAGAGAGAACACAGTAAATACACACGCAGCACAACGTCCTTCTTTCTACCGAAGTTGAAGCCGCTCATTCTGCAAGCACATTGCTCCAAAGGGAACAAGACAGAAGAAGCCACAGGGATTTCCACCATCCTCCCTTTTGATCTTCATTTTGCAACATAAATTTAGGGGCTCCGTCGTCGTCATAAGTCAGGGACTACTTGTATTACCAGTGCTTTTTTTTTTGTCATAGAACACACCAGAACGGAGTTCCGGCACTTTTTTTGACGGATTTTCCAAGTTTTAAAAGTAACTTTTGAAAACGTGATGTTTGAATCGCCCTGTTGAGTGTAGCAGGTTGGCGGCAAAATCATTAAAACGGTGCATGCGGGCTGCTTGTGTGGCGAGTCCCATGCATGCGTACTTCGTCCGCGTTGGTTGTGATGGCGCTGCTCGGCTTCTGGCACTGCTCGGCTTGTGACTGGTTGTGTGGTCGCGCACCGGGTGCTTACTGCAGATGGCAACCATTATGTTTCGTTACACAACTGATGTGTGTGGGTGTGTGCACAAGGACTGACTATGGGCGAAAGATAAATAATTCCTTTATTTCAAATATCGTCGGTGAATTGAAAATCTTTTTTTAATGTTTACTGTAAAATTTACGGGGAACATTTGGCCTTAAATACAGTAAATGAAATTTAAGTTAAGAACTGAGTATATGATTTTTTTAAAAAATAAAAGATTAACAAGATGTGAGTTTCGGCACCCTTTTTCTTACGAAAAAGGCACTGGGTATTATCTTTGCAAAAAACAGCTTTTTAGCCATTATTAAAACAGCCATTATTCTTTTTTAACAACCAGGAGAAGATGTCTGCCAGAGACCATCCTCATATTTACCTGATCTTCTGCTCCGTTCTGTTGATCACGGGGCGTCTTTAGAGCCACGTCGCTATAGTAAGCGTAGGAGACCTCAAGATCCTGGGGGTAATTACTCATTCCTTGATAGTGCTTGTAGCCCAGGTTCATCAGAGCAAGACGATCCCCTTCTTGAGCTGCGACCAAGCTGTAGAGCAATCCCTGGAAAGGACGAACCGTTTGGAAGGTAAATCCAGGAAAGTAACATCATATTATTGTAGTTTTATAGTATTATAGCTTTGTCTTGTTGTAGTTTTGGTCACCACCGTGTAAAAAAAGATGTTGAGACTCTAGAAAGAGTGCAGAGAAGAGCAACAAAGATGATTAGGGGACTGGAGGCTAAAACATACGAAGAACAGTTGCAGGATTTGGGAATAGCTAGTCTAAAGAAAAGAAGGATTAGGGGGGACATGATAGCAGTATTCCAATATTTGAGGGGCTGCCCCAAAGAAGAGGGAGTCAAGCTATTCTCCAAAGCGCCTGAAGGCAGGACAAGAAGCAACGGAATGAAGGATCATTCACAAGAAAGATAAATTATGGTTTGGAGAAGATGGATTGATTATATTCAAAAGAAGTATGAAACTGAAAAGTATTATCTTGCTTTTGAATAGATTTTAGATAATTATTAATAGTATTAATTGTATTATTATTGTTGTCATAATTTGCTAATATTTGTTTTGAGAAGGAGTTAAAATGTATTACGGTTTTGATTGATAGTTTAGTTGGTTTATGTTAGCTAGATTATGTTTGTTTATTTGTTACCCTGTAATCAGCTCTGGGAACTGGGGGAGGGGGGAGGGGATGGGCGGGTTTATATTGTAATTTATAAAACTTTTAATTAAAAAAAAAAGAAGCAACGGATGGAAACTGACCAAAGAGAGAAGCAACCTGGAACTAAAGAGAAATTTCCTGACAGTTAGAACAATTAATCAGTGGAACTCCTTGCCTCCAGAAGTTGTGAAGGCTCCAACACTGGAGATGGTTCAAAAGAGATTGGACAGCCATTTGTCTGAAATGGTCTAGGGTTTCCTGCCTGAGCAGGGGGTTGAACTAGATGACCTCCAAGGTCCCTTCCTCCTCCTCCTCCTCCTCCTCCTCCTCTTCTTCTTCTTCTTCTTCTTCCTCCTCCTCCTCTTCTTCTTCTTCTTCTTCTTCTTATTATTATTATTACTATTATTACTATTACTATTATATTGCAAATATCAAAGAAACAATAGCAAACTCAGAAACACCGAGGCAAGACTTTCTAACAAGCAAAGTCACTGGGCAAGCCTGATTGACTTCACAGCCAAGTGGCTAACTTAACCACCGAGGTGATTCTCTTAACAACGGTGAACAAAATGGTCGTTAAACGGGGCAAAACTCCCTTAACGAATGCCTCCCTTAACAACAGAAATTTCTGGGCCTCGATTGTGGTCGTAAGCCAAGGACCACCTCTATCTGTACTACAGCTACACCTAGACTTGTAGCAAGGGTTTCTCAACCTTAAGTCAACTTTAAGATGGGTGGACTTCAACTCCTAGAATTTCCCAGCCAGCCAGCCAGAGGCAAACCACATCAGGACAGGTGCCTCAGGGAGGCTGATGAACAGCCATGGCAAACCACATCAGGACAGTGCTTCAGGGAGGCTGATGAAAGCCATGGACCCCCTCAGGGGCTTCTAAATCCTGGAGTAGAAATGCGAGTATCCCAACGTCTTACCTGAGCTGGGTCTGAAGATACAGCTAGCCCAACTTCAAAGATGACACCGAGAACATAAGAAGCTCTGGAATATCCATAACTGCTGGAATCCCTCAGGGCCAAAATGGAGGAATTGATATAAAGCAGACCGTCCGCTCGTGATAGGTTTTGAACAGCTGCCTCAAATAACCTGCGTCCAATTTTGAAGGCTATCTCCTTCTTGCGTTTGGATACTGAAAGAGTAAGATACAACACATTAGTAAGCCAGTGAGATGGTTTCTACTCCTGCTTCTGCTGCCATCCTGTTTTCTTTCTTTCTTTTTTTCTTTTCAAAGAATTTTATTAATTTTCTATTATTACATTTGATCAGCGCTTAATAAACACCATGTGGTCTGGGTTAATTTGTTTGCTTAATAATGCAAGTTACATTCTTACCTCTTTTTCCCAACCATGGATAAAATAAAGTAAGAATGTTTTGAATATTGTGGGGAAAACAAATTTAAATAAGAACGTTAAACAGGATCCATGATAAGGCAATCAAGATGATCAGTTAGAAAAGAAGCTTTATATCGACGTGCTTATTATTTGCAGAAATATTAGAAATAAATGTCTATATTTAATTGTTATTTATCCAAATAATAAACATTGTATTAATTCAAGGATGGCAAAAGAGAACATTTGGAAGAACATCAAGCAAAGCTATTATGTGGACTATAGAGTTATAGAAACAAATTGTTATTGATTGTTTTTTTAAATATAAAGCCAGACAACACGATGTTTACCAAATATTAAGGTGATTATGTAAAAAAAATTCATAAACATATTTAAAACATAAATAAATTCCATGTTTGAAAATATTCTGTATCTTCTTTACTCTTTGATCCTCAATATAAGTCTGTCCATTTCAGCACAATCCAATATTTTCTTGATTATCTCTTTGTCTAGTGATTTTTTTTTTCATTCTTCCAGTGCTGAGCAAATACGCATCTCACTGGTGTTAGTATATGCAATGTTAAATATAAACTTTGCTTATCAGATTTTTCTGGTATTATACCTAATAAGAAAAGTTCAGGTTTAAAATCTACATGTTTTCCCAACATCTTTTCTAGCCAAGTATTTATTTTTGTCCAAATTTTTCTTGCTTTAACACAGGTCCACAGATTCTAAAATGATTTATTCAGATGAAGAAGGAAGAATTGTGATGGTAGAAATATACTTACATCAAAAACAAGCATTGTTAGTAGTAATCTACGCACCAAATAATAACCAGGAAGAATTCTATCAAAACCTCCACAGAAAAATAATAGAAACGGAGTGCCAAAATATCTGTTTAGTAGGAGACTTTAATGCGATAGTGGATGGGACTAGACTATAAAAGTAGTAAAACAGGAAAAACTGGAAGAAGAAGATTACCTAAGACCTTTTTTTAATATGATAGAAGAAATTGGAGTACAAGATGTTTGGAGGGACATTAATCCAGGAAAATTACGATGTACATTTTATTCAAACAGTCAAAAATCCTCGTCCAGACTCATTAGGATTTGGATGACATCTGAACTGAGGACAACTATGCAGGATATTGAGATAGAACCAGGTACATAGGCAGACCATAACTCTCTAAAAGTGATGTGGAGAGGAATACCAAAAAAAAAAAAAAAAAAATCAAGATGGACTTTGAACCAATCTATATTAAAAGAAAGAGAATTTATAGAACTGGCAAAAATGGACTTATAGAAATGGACTTTTTCTTCAAAGAAGTTACTAGACCAGTGTTTCTCAACCTTAACAATTTTAAGGCATGTGGAATTCTGGGAATTGAAGTCCACATGCCTTAAAATTGTCAAGGTTGAGAAACACTGTACTAGACATATTTTCAAACAGCTGCCACCATGTTTTTTCATCCTACAGGAATCTCCACAACCCATCAATCCGCTGGGTGGGTGGGTGGGCCTGTTTGGGCCTGTTGCAAGAGTTATTGCCATGATCTTGACTATCCGCCGTATGGAAAAAGGACTTTACCTTCTGGGAAAGGTGGAGTGGTGTCCTTTGCGTCTTCAAGCATGCTGTGATGTCCCTATCCATCCTTTCTCCAGCTCAAAGCAACACACTTCCGAGGGCTCCTGTATTTGTGGCTCAGTTCCAGATAATAGTTGTCAAGAGGGCCTGAGGAAAAATTGCCATTAAAAAAAGAAGAAAATGGTTTTCTAACAGAATGACAGAAAAACAGAGTTGGAATGGAATGGAATGATAGAATAGAATGGAATAGAATAGAACAGAACAGAAAGACAGAACAGAACAGAATAGAATAGAATAGAATAGAATAGAATAGAATACAGGATGGGACTGGACTAGAGTAGACTAGACTAGACTAGACTAGACTAGACTAGACTAGACTAGACTAGACTAGACTAGAATAGAATAGAATAGAATAGATAGAATGAATAGAATAGAATAGAATAGAATAGAATAGTTGAAAGGGACCTTGGAGGTCTTCTAGTCCAACGGCTCTCCAATCTCTCCTGGTGCCTCAAATGAGCCCACACAAGAGCACAATAACATCACAATAACTTACACTGTTGATTTTCTTCAAATATTCCACCGAGAATCCAGGCTCAGATACTCTATTCTGGATATTAGCCCGTTTCTGATAGTACATCTCAATTCTCTCTGAAATCTCTTTGTTGCAGAACGGATGAGAAAACTGGAAGGGGCAAAAAAAAATAATATTTATTTCACAGAGTGGCAATTTTAAGAAAATTGTACAGCTAGTCCTCGGCTTACAACAGTTCGTTTAGTGATCGTTCAAAGTTACAAACGGGGCTGAAAAAAAGTAACTTACGACCATTTTCACACTGACGGCAATTTTGACGCTTGGCAACTGACTCATATTTATGATGGTTGCAACGTTCCGAGGTCACTAATCAACCAAGGGCATTCATCAAACAGAGACTGGCCTCCCTTTTCCTCTCCATATTTCCATCCTTCACAATCTCACCTTTCAGTCTCTACGTTGCTAAGACGGTAGTACTCGCTGATCCAAAATATCCTTTGATTCCGGCATGTACTGCTGCCCCCAAAACCAAGTAGCCATCGGTGTCATTGTGGTAGAAATCTTGCTGAAAACTAGGAAAAGGAAGATAAATTGTACGGCTTTTATAACCCAGTTAGAGAGAGAGAGAGAGATGAGAGAGAGAGAGAGAGAGAGAGAGAGAAGAAAATTGGAATCCTGATCCAGTTTTGGTCACCACGATGTAAAAAGATGTTGAGACTCTAGAAAGAGTGCAGAGAAGAGCAACAAAGATGAAGGGGACTGGAGCTAAAACATATAAGGAACGGTTGCTAGAATTGGGTATGTCTAGTTTAACGAAGAGAAGGACAAGGGGGGGACATGATAGCAGTATTCCAATATTCAGGGGCTGCCATAAAGAAGAGGGAATAAGCTATTCTCCAAAGCACCTGAAGGCAGGACAAGAAGCAACGGGTAGAAACTAATCAAGGAGAGAAGACCTAGAACTAAGGAGAAACTTCCTGACAGTGAGAACAATTAATCAGTGAACAACCTGCCTCCAGAAGTGGTAAATGCTCCAACACTGGAAGTTTTTAAGAAGAGACTGGACAGCCATTTGTCCAAAATGGTGTAGGGTTTCCTGCCTGAGAGGGGGTTGGACTAGATGACCTCCAGGTCCCTTCCAACTTTACTACTATTACTATACGAGAGAGAGAGAGAGAGAGATGAGAGAGAGGAGAGAGAGAGAGAGAGAGAGATGTTTTATATAAAAACATGGCACTTATACGAATAGAAGTTGGTCTACTTAAAAATCTGAGAAAGACACTCATATTCTTCCCAACGACGGTGATGTCGATCTGAAAGAAAAAGTTAAAGATTCGTCTGAAAGTATGATCCTTTTGTCACATGTATGACCGTTGCAGCATCTCTGGGGTCATGCGATTTACATTAGATGATTGGGGACTGACTCATATTGGGAAGTGCGTGCAAGTTGAGAAAGAGAGAGGCAGAGACAGACGACAGACAGACAGACAGAGAGAAAGAAAAAGAGAGAGAGACAGAGAGACAGAGGAAGAGAGAGAGAGACAGAGAGAGACGAGAGACAGGGAGAGGGGAGGGAAAGAGAGAAAGAGACAGACAGAGAGAAAGAGAGATAGAGTGAGAGAGAAAGAGAGAGACAGAGACAGAGAGAAAGAAAAGTCAGAAAGAGACAGAGAGAAAGAGAGAGAGAGACAGAAAGAGAAAAAGAGAAAGAGACAGAGAAAGAGACAAAGAGAGACAGAGAAAGAGAGAAAAAGAGAGAGAGAGACAGAGAGAGACAAAAGAGAGAGAGACGAGAGAAAGAGACAGAGAGAGACAGAGAGAGGGGAGGGAAAGAGAGAAGAATGAGACAGACAGAGAGAAAGAGAGACAGTGAGAGAGAGACAGAGACAGAGAGAAGAAAAAAAGTCAGAAAGAGACAGAGAGAAAGAGACACAGAGAGAGAGACAGAAAGAGAAAGAGAGAAAGAGACAGACAGAGAAAGAGACAAAGAGAGACAGAGAAAGAGAGAGAGAAAGAGAGAAAAAGAGAGAGAGACAGACAGGACATACCTCCTGTCCATTAACGGAGAGATCCAGCCGCAACCACTGCTTCAGAGGAAGGCAGAACGTGCTCTTTCCTGCTAGATCCCCTCTTTGACCAGGTGCATTTGGATGTGAAGATCACCTGAAATGTGATCCCCGACTTACTTATTAACATATCTATTTATTGATTTGTATATTTATTATTTAGACATTTTTTATCTCCGCCTACTCGCTCATGGCAACTCAAGGCGGCTGACAGGACATCAAACGCAATATAAAAGAAAAAAAATAATAAAAAATAAAATTATCACCCCTCGCCCCCCCCATCCCCAGCGGACCGCCCACACTCAAATCAGTCATTTGATGGGCTCCGTCCCGCTCTGGGCTCCCCAGGCCCGCTGGCAGAACCTCATCTTCGGGGCCTTCCGAAAGAGTGTCAGAGTGAGGACCGGTCTAATTTCTAGAGGGATGATGTTCCCGAGGAGGGAGCCACCACGGAGAAGTCCCTGCTTCTGGTTTCCCGCCAGACGGATCTCTTTTTCTTCCTCTTACCTTATTGGTGAGAAATACAGCAGGGGTGCCGTACATCTCTTCCGAATCGATGAAATACAGGATGCCACACAGTGGCTCTCGCAATAGCGCAGTAAATAAAGCCAGACCGAGAAAGTAAAGCTGTAGAAGCACAAACAGGCTGGTGAGAAACAGCTTACTGACTCCTGAAACTATCTGATATAATCCAGTCAATTCAACGGAACCACCTAGCCCACTTCTCAGCCTGGAAATTATTGTGTGTTCTTCAAAGGATAACAATAACAGTAATGATGAGGAGGAGGAAGGAGGAGGAGAGGAGGAGGAGGAGAAGACGAAGAGAAGAAGAAGAGAAGGAAGAAGAAGAAGAAGAAGAGAGAAGAAGAAGAAGAAGAAGAAGAAGAAGAAGAAGAAGAAGAAGAAGAAGAAGAAGAAGAAGAAGAAGAAGAAGGAAGAAAGAGAAGAAGAAGAAGAAGAAGAAGAAGAAGAAGAATTATTGTGGGGTATTGGTGCTCTCTGAGCTTTTTTCTTGCAGACCTTTCATGATTCAGCCAGGTAACATCTCAGTTTAGAAGGGAGTGGGATTTGCAGGAGGAGGAGGAGGAGGAGGAGGAGGAGAAGAAAGAAGAAGAAGAAGGAAGAAAAGAAGAAGAAGAAGAAGAAGAAGAAGAAGAAGAAGAAGAAGAAGAAGAAGAGAAGAAGAAGAAGAAGAAGAAGAAGAAGAAGAAGAAGAAGAAGAAGAAGAAGAAGAAGAAGAAGAAGAATTATTGTGGGGTATTGGTGTCTCTGAGCTTGCTTGTTTTCTTGCAGACATTTCATGATTCAGCCAGGTAACATCATCAGTTCTTAGAAGGGAGTGGGATTTGCAAGGAGGAGGAGGAGGAGGAGGAGGAGGAGGAGGAGGAGGAAGGAGGAGGAGGAGGAGAGGAGGAGGAGAAGAAGAAGAAGAAGAAGAAGAAGAAGAAGAAGAAGAAGAAGAAGAAGAAGAAGAAGAAGAAGAAGAAGAAGAAGAAGAAGAAGAGAAGAAGAAGAAGAAGAAGAAGAAGAAGAAGAAGAAGAAGAAGAAGAAGCAGGAAAAGAAGAAGAAGAAGTTTGGAAGGAACACCTTGGGTCTTCTAGTCCAACCCCTTGCTCAGGCAGGAAACCCTATCCCATTTCAGACAAATGGTTGTCTATTACCAAAAAACACTGCTATACTAATTACTATTTAATGAGATGGAATTAATGTTTCTAGAAAAGCAATCAAGTTTCTGACTGTATAAATTTTGTCCCTCCCAAAAGATAGGCATTTAGAAAAACAAACAAACAAATAAACTGCTTCACTATTGCCACTTAAGTCTGAAATCTTGAGAGAAGTCAAATCAAGTGGGCTAACAGATTTGCCTAAATGTCACAGGATAAACAGCGGGCAGCCCTATGCACATTGCAGAAAAACAACAACACAACAATAATAAAAAGATCTTTATTGCTAGCGATTACTACGTTGGATAATTCGTTTATGATGCTTCCGGATGGCTTCAAGTTCGCTGTTTTTAAATTTCTGGAATTTCTTTACGATTCCTGTTGCCTCTCCACTGGATGCATATGGAAAGGCGAGGATGTCCAACACATCTGTAAAAACAAGACTGTTCTTAATGCAATCAAAGGAATTGCAAAAGGTCATTTCAACTGCTTTTTTGTATGCATAGATAGAGATAGAGATGATAGAGATATATATTTCAGCCTAATCATCTAGTTCTAAATGTACTTTAAGCACATCTGTTCCCCAGGTTTCCTGTTCATGCCATCACCTTGTCCCTGTCTACATTTGGGGTTTCATTTTTAGCAAGCATTTACTGGGATTCAGCAAGCAAAATTGTTTCCATTCCTCTTTGTCCAGAACTACCAGCTCACTCATTGTCCCAAAGGTGCTTTTTCAGGAGGCAACTGGACTTCCTGTTTTCTTTGAAGACGTTTCGCTTCTCATCCCAGAAGCTTCTTCAGTTCTAGCTGGATGGTGGGGAACAGAAGATTTATAAGCTCCAGGTGGCCTCAAGGACTGTCCAAAAGGAGGCAAGGACAGCTGTCTGCAAGGAGTATGAACCTTCCTTTCCCCACCAACCAGTCAGAGCTGAAGAAGCTTCTGGGATGAGAAGTGAAACGTCTTCAAAGAAAATAAGAAAGTCCATTTGCCTCTTGAAAAGCACCTCTGGGACAGCCCTGACCTGGATGACTGGGAATCTCCATAGGTATTAGCTAACTTCAACACAGCAATAGCTATCCCACTTAAATGCCAAAGGAAGACAAGGTTAAGAATAGAATAGAATAGAATAGAACAGAATAGAATAGAATAGAATAGAATAGAAATTTAGAAAAATAGAATAGAATAGAATAGAATAGAATTAATAATAGAAATAGAATAGAATAGAAAGAATAGAATACAGAATAGAATAGAATAGTATAGAATAGAATAGAATAGAATAGAATAGAATAGAATAGAATAGAATAGAATAGAATAGAATAGAATAGAATTAGAATAGAATAGGAGAAATTGATTGATTGAAGAATAGAATAGAATAGAATAGAATAGAAAGAATAGAGAATAGAATAGAATAGAATAGGAA